GGCTGAGTGGGGCCGCGCGCCGCCGGCGTCCCCCCCTGCGGCACGGGAGAAACAGGAAAATACAGAAATGTGTGTTTCCCGGGGCTCTGCCAACAGCCTTCTTTCGGTCAGAAATAAACACTCTCCACCTAGGCCAGACAACTGCCGTCCTTCCTCGTTTTGAGGTGGGATTCCAGGGGTGTTTGAGGCTTAAGAATGGAAAACTGAGGTGGGAGTTGCCGTTAGGAACCTGGCCATCAAAAGCGTAGCGATGCCAACAGCTGGGCCATCGATCTGAGTCACTCTTAACTTTAGTTACGCTAAAACACGCTGACCTAAACCGCCTTTTACGTGCGAATCGCTCTCCCGAAGGGTTTTTGTCACCGGCAGCCTGACGAGCGCGAGGGTAGCACGGAGGACGTCCGCTCCGCAGGCAACGCGTCAAACTCTGAACAAACTGCCCTGCTCTTTGTCGGGAGTGAGGCCTTCGATGGGTGCAATAAAGAAAGGGACACCAAAAAGGAGCAGAGACCAAGTCGTTCCTCGGTCCGTGAGCCGAGGATTTCCTAAGCTCACAATCCCCACGGGCGCTGAGAAGTTATCCAGTGGTTCCCTCCTGAGTCGGAGGAGTGGAACAAGAAGTATATGGTACCCATGGATGCAGTCAAAGCGGGCATGAACTGTGACATCCCAGCTCATGAACGCATCGTTAACGCCGCAGGGCTACGGATGTTACGGCATGGCGGCTTGTGAGCAGCAGCAGATGCTCTCTAATATCAGCCCTGGTCAGGCATTGCTCTTCCGCTTCTCTCGCACTGGTTTTGGAAAGGGAGGAACAAGCGGTGGCAGTTTAGGAGGCCCAAAGCCCAAATCCACAAAGGACTTCAGGAATTTAACTTCTGTTAAAATCAGTGGGAATCACTCAGCCTGCTCCTTGGATCTATGCCCAAGATTTTCAGGACTCCAGCTAAAAAGTCATGAGGTTAGGATGAGGTGGAAGGATTTGGCACTAGTCCCATTTCTCCTCCTTCACAGGAAGAAACCTACCAGCCATGGAGATGCTGCCATATGCTCGACCTGCCCTCCCAAATGCATCATGCTTGGGTGACCAAATGACTGGCTAAAGCCCTTCGTTTGCTTGAACCTGTACACAGCTGAAAGATCCGGGACCAATGCTGAGGCATTTCACAGATTAAGTTCCTCAGTAATGGTTATCTTCCTGCACCAATTCCTGCATTGAGGGGCACATTCCTGCACTGCTCATCTACAGGGAGACTTGTTGGAGGGTCGGTGAGGTTCAGGCAACGGCTCCTTTAGATCTGGGAGGCAGTTTTTGGTCTTGAAACCACAACACCAACTGCAAGCGCACTGCAAAAACTCTCTGCCAAGAGCCAAGGCTTCCAGCCGCAACGCTGGCTTGTGCCTCCTCCCCGCCCACGGCCCTGCTCCCCTCCCCAGAAGCTCCAGAGCTCCCAGTTTCGGAGCCACAGGGCTGTTCCTGGATGAGAAACACATTCAAGAGCAGAACAGATGAGTGGTTTGTACATCACCGCCAGCCAAAGGCTAAGCGCTGTGTTCAAGTCCAGTGGACACAATGGCTCTTATTTTGCCAAGTAAATGGCTAATTTCACGCCAAACATTTGTTCAGTTGGAAAATCACTAGCTCATCATCCTCCCCATTAGTGAAGTTTCTAAACTGGTGTTGCACGGGGACATACATTTGTTATACTCACAAATACCCCATAAGTGATTCAACAAGGGACTTATGTAGCTGCAAGCAAAGGAAAAGATACGGATTTAAGTGAGCTAAGACAATTAAACAACCAAGCTTCAGATCATAAACTCCAAGTCCCTAACACACTCTCTGCCCCATCTTCTGCCTGAATCATTAAAGACTACGTCAATCTGTTTCTCCTAGCATCCTCTTTGCTCTCCCAGGGATGAAGGGCAGCACGCACAGCACATTTACATGCTACTGTTTCAGCAGACGCTCCTCTCCACTGTCCCAATAACAGCATCTCCTCGTCACCCCAAGTCATGAGCTCTGGAAACAGGTCGCCCATGGCAGGGCTACCCCAGGCACACTCAGACTGTCAGCCAATGAGGGCCACACTGGGACAGCAAGCACCAAAGGACATTCCCCATAGTGCTAAATACATTTAGCACCTGACACCGAGAAGGCTCCTACCACAGACGGATACCATAATGTAATGGCATCCTTCTCATATCACAAGTCGACTGCTTGGTCCTACCACCTTCCCAACATTATCTGCCATTCGGATTTTTCCTTCCTTAATAGGGGTCGCTAACTTGCTTGGTTCTCATACCCAAGATCCTCCACCTCGGGTGCACTCGGGGTTCAGAAGGGAGGACTATGGCAGTCAGTACACAAGATGCTGGGGTGGAGACGAACCCCAGTGAGACAGATGGGAAGGCTAAGCATAGCCAGCTAGAAATCAAGCCATAGGAAGCCAAAGCCAGACACCGAAGAAGGGCAGGAGCATGCTTGCAAATATCAGTGTTTCCTGGCAGGCTTTGTCTTCTCTAGCTGCCTCCACCGCATGATCCTAAGGCTATTCCTACCCAAGGCATTAAGGACCTTGAAAATCAACTACTAACCACCTCCTGGAGCAGAGGCTCCAAGTTCTCCTCTGGCAGGTAGATGGAGAGTGTTTACTCCCACTGAAAGCAAGGACATGGGTCAACTTCATTTTGACAACATTTTTCCTCACTGACAGTACAACACTGGCCAGGAAGAGACATGCTAATGTCAGCTATCTCTTGGGCAGTGATTTGTGTGGACCCTGGGCAACACAGACTCTCCCAAAAGACACGCCAGCATTGATTAGTCAGGGAGGAGATCCTTTTGTCACACGGCAAAACCAGACCCCATCTCAAGACCCCTTCCAAGGGGCCAGAAACCCCTGCCACAAGCCCCCACGACAGATCGCGCCACAAGAAGAGATAAACGAGGGGTTACTTACTATAAGAGTAGCTGCTAACTTCAGATATTGCTGGTGAATGGGAAACCTTGAGCTGATTTTTGACTTTTAACCCCACCTCCATCTTCTTCATTTTGGCAGCCACTTTGTTTTTACCTTCCTTGGCGGTTTTCAGCGACAGGCCCAGGTTCTTGGCCAGGCTCTTCTTCTCCTCCTTGCTCGGCAGAGCCTCATGGGGTGGGAGGTACCTGCCACCACCTCCGCTCGTTTTCGGCTTCCCTCCAGAGCTGTCGGCAAACTTGAAGGGGGATTTGAGCTTGTCTTGTTTGGTGAGCGACAGGGCCTTGTCAAGCTTGCTGGCCAGCTGCTCCTGATCCGATGGCACCTTCTTCTTCTTGAGCTTTAACTGCCAAGAGGAACGGAAGGGACAGTGGTGAATACAGAGCAGATATTGTGGCAGACCCTACGGATTTTACAAGCTCTGATTTCAGCCTCTCATGCACGCCAATTAATAAGGCCTTGAAAGGAAGGACTTAACCCCCGGGCTGCCATAGCCAGCCAAGGCACTGGGGAGGAAGAGAAAGGAGATGCCAGCGAGCAGTGCAGCTTCACCCCTGTCGAGCATTACAAGATTAACTTAGAAAAATTGAGTTTTCTTCCAAAAGAAACATAACCACGGAACAACATGTTCTTGAGGGATTTTTTTCTCATCACCTTCTGGATTTTAGGATATGTTTGGGCCAGTTTTGCAAGTTTTTCTCTAACTCATAAGGATTAAAAGTCTTTTTTACCCCAAAACCCCAACCAAATAAATAAAGATTTCCACATAATCAACCAGCTCCAGAGGCTGGATGCCAAAAAGAGTCAAATATGTCTCAGCAAGGGCATCAGGACCACTGCATTATACACAGGGCTGTTACACTCTCTCGTTTTTTCTTGATCCTTCAATAATGCAAATACACTTTACATGCGCTACAACTAGTTAACAGCAGCTCTAACACAACACTTTGCCCGTACGAATCTGAGATTTCATCATTAGCTTTAAAGGTCTGGTAAATATCTCGTAGCTTTGACAGCAGCAGAAGAAAACCCTACATGTAAAACAGCATGGCTGCAGTCCCTTTCCTCCCTCACCTTGGGAAGTCAGTCCCACTCTGCTGTCTCCACAGTCAAAGGAGTAAGGCAAGCACTGCTCTGGATTCGCATCACTGCGATGCTCTGGCTGGCCTGAAGGTATTTGCCTCTCTCTGTTGCCTACCAAAGAGGTCCAACCTCTGTAAGCCAACGCTAGCCTTTGCACGCACCCTTCCACAGCACGGAGAGCTCTCCCACAAGGAGCTTCCAGACACATGTGGACTGAGAGCAGAGGCTCCAAGGTCTGGAGAAGTTATCCAGTGCAATTCAACACCAGCAAAGCAGGAAAGAGATGTGCTTTCCGCCCACAGCTCTGCATCCCCCATTAGGGCACTGACCTCGTTTGAGAAGCTGGGAGCCGCATCGTGCTCTTCCCAGCTCTGGTTTCTCCCTTTCATCTTGCCACCGCTGCTCTCCACATCGTCATCCTCCTCCGGGAGGGCCCCTTTGTGCCTCTTCTTCATGCCCTCACCAGTCTCAGAGTCTTCAGAGAGCAACAAAGACTTGCTCAGTCTGCAAGCCAAGCACAGGATGGGTCAAGATGGGGGACTTTCCTTCCTGTGATCCCCACCAAGCTCAAAAGTGAGGCTAAATGCCTCCTAGGGTAGCAGGGATCCTCAAGGGGAGCCAAGTCCACTGTGGAGTAACAGCCGTTTGGACAAGCTGAGGGTCTGACCCTTGTTTTCCACTGAATAAGAGAGCCAACGAGCCCTTCTTTTGCACACTCAGCTATCAGCATAGACGAGGTTAGCTGAAATCAGAGACCTGCAAAGCGGCCTCTGAAAGGAAGCAGTGGGCATGTTGAGAAAAAGCCACCGAAAAATGCCCGATTCGGTACAGAGCAGCGGGGGGAAGAACAGACAGCCGAGCTGACCCTGTAGGTCTTTTTCCACCTCTGCCCTCATGGACTGCCTAGGTGCAGAGGGAGATTCTTGGGTCCCAGGGAGGTGCCGCACCACCTGGACTCTTGCTCTGGTTGCTCGGGCGTAAGCAAGGAGGTGGTAATCCCGTGGAGCTGAAAGGAACCAGCACACAGGGCGGCTGGGAGGAGACAAGGGCACTGGGGGGACTGGCTCACGCAAAGGGCAGAAATCTGCCTTACGAGCCTGACTCCTCTGTAAGAGATGTTTGCGGTCTGCATCTTCAGTCTCTCTCCAGGATTTAGGGGGAAAGGAGAGGGTAAATAAATAAAAAATAAAAAAAAATGAAGTAGGTGAGACTAGAAGCACGTTTTTCGCTGCTCCCGAGCAGTGTCCAGCAACTAGCTGATGAATTAACACCTCAAGACCTCTACCAAGCCTCCATTAAATGCTTTCGTATGCCACTTCCTTCATGCTAAGCCTGCTGGCCCAGGTCAGACCACCACCATGAAGCTGCTGACAAAGGGCAGCCTCCTCAGCTTCCAAGCATATCCCCTCCCCTCCATCCTCTCTGCTGACCTCCGCAGACAGTTGAACCAACAACTCAGGTCCTTGATGCTGACTGAGGGTGCATCTCCGTCTCCTACACCAGGTTGTTCTAGCGTTCCCACCACATGGGGACAGGCACACACAACACAAGCACACACATATGCACAACTCCAGCCACCTCTCAACGCCTCCAGCCTTTCCAGGCACTCAAATCAGAGAAGCAAAATAAAGAGCCACCAAGAGGACAGATTTTCAGAAGCATGTGGTCAGTGGGAGCTGGGGACCTGAATCTAATTTGTGGTCTTGAAAGGACATTTGCAAAAACATGTAACACACAGGGAGGCAGCTTGAAGGTGCCTTCCCTTTGGAGAGACTTGGTCATCTACAGATTGTTACAGGGCCAACTGTGTTGTGATCCAGGCACCCAAACAAGAGCAGTTGGACTTGCAGAAAAGAAAAAAGCAGAAGAGAGAATGATCTAGACTCTTGAAAAAGAGCGATCAGGCCGAGCCAGCTCCCACTGATTAAGGGAAAAGACGACAGCAGAAACACAGCAGAAAGGCCCTAAAAACTAGTTAACCTGAAACAGCCCTGTCCTTCCAATTTGTGTCATCAGCTTCCTTGCAATTAGCCTTACAGTGCCCACATGCACCATCTGCTCTCCCGAACGCACACCAAGACACGCTCCCTGACACCAAGAGCTCACCTGAAGGTCCCTGCCCAGCTGGACGCTCCACAAAACCTCAGCGCTGCTCAACTCAGCCTGCCCTACCTGCGCCCAACACCAAAGACATGTGCTCTACCAGTGGGGAGGGAGGAGGCTGGCACCATATTCCCACTGCAAGGACACACTCAAGTTAAATACACACGCTTCCACAACATCACGGCCGCCAGGGACCGGCCTGCCAACACAATGCCACGGTGGGCCCCCACTGTATCCGAGTTGCTCTCCCCAAGCAGGACCCTGTGCAGCGACCCTACCATTTTCCCATCTTCCCCAAATTCCAGCCTTACTTTCCACTCTTGCTGTCACTCTTCCCTCTCTCCTTAATGGGCGACAGAGCGCTTGATCCAAGTTTCCTCTTCCTGGGCCTTCCAGGGCCTCTTCTTGCCAAGCTTCTACTTTTCTCGTCATGCTTTTCCCTTTAAAAAAACCACACGCTTCACTGTTAACCAAGGCAACAAAAAAAAGCAAAGAAAAAAAAAACAAAATAAAACGTTGCAACCAAAAAGCAAAACAAACAGGAAAAAAAAAATAAGGCAAATAAATCCAAAAGGAAGAAAAAGGGGAAAAAATTAAAAGAAAGCAAGCAAGAACGGGAGCCAACCCGGAACCTTCGCCTGTCACCAAACTGCTAAACTGAGCTGCTGAAGCCAAGGTTGTCTCTAATATGGTCTCCCAGCTGCATTCACCAGTCATCAGGTTGTCGAGTCACATAGCCTAGGAGTGTGTTGCGCAAAGCTCTGGCGGGCCATACCAGGAGGAGAGGAGAGAGACAGGGATGGATGGAGGGCTGGTTTCTCTCCTGGATCGAGAGGAAGTGAAAGTGCCCGGCTGGAAAGAAAAAGACCACGCAAACGGCCTGCAACTTACTCAGAGTCCCTGCGCCGTTGCAGCTTCACTAGCTCCCGCTGCTTCTCCTTGTACCGCCGCTGCAGCTCTGCCAGCCTCATCCTGTAGTCCAGCTCCATTGCGTCCATATTCTCGATGGCTGATTTGATGGAGTACATCTGGGGTGGGGAGGCAAGACAGGCACAGAGGGTCAAGGCATGTCCAGGCCCCTGCTTAGATAAGGGTGGTGTATGCAAGGGTGCTCCTGCCCTTGAAAAGGCCTGGCGGATGGGCTCCAACTCTGCACACGTATACGGAGGACACAGGCCTGCTCCTGGACAGTTACAACCAGCAAATCTGGGGAACGGCTGGGTCAGGGACGGCAGCACGGAGCATTGGGCGGTAAAGATAGGGAGTTAGCAAGGCATGGATGAAGTAGCATGTAAAGCTTCACCTTCATCTTGTGGCTCTGATGCAAACCGGGCAGGGAAATCCCTCCACGCTTGCAGTGGAGCAGAGTACCCTTGCCCGTATCAAGCACAGCCCTAGAGTACTACTCGAGCAAAACCGGGCAAGCAAAGATGTTCTGTGGCTTAAGGATAGGAGAGTATCAGCTTTGAGGGTGAACAATTCTGGGAAGTGACTTGCAGAATAAAATTCATGCATGAAGCCTATTCTCCCTTACTTAAAAACTCAGATCAAAATATTGTCTTGGAACCTTTATTTGCTGGCTACAAAAGAATTTGCCAGCCTCTCCCTATGGAGAAGAAATGAGAATTAAAAACAAGGAAAAAAACCCTCCCGCCCCTATCTTTATTTATCCCCTCTGCTGAAGCAGTAACATATGAGTTCCTGCTGGCTTTGTATTACAAACACCACTTCTAGGGCTGCAGTGGGTCCTGCTGAGATCAATGGTGTTGATTCGCAAGCAAAGGAGGAAGCAAAATCACACTACATTGACTCCTGCTCAGCTGCAAATGCAGAGGGAAGCAACGTCTCGCTTTGCCAAAAGCGAAAGGGCAGCACAAGCCGGGCGGTAAACTGCGGCTGGAAGGGCGAGCTGCAGTGAGCAGATGCACCGCAGCTTTTCAAGCTCAGTCACAGGAAGAGCTACTTACAGGTTCATCTTTCTTCTGCATCCAGCTGTACTTTTTGTTAGGATTCAGCTCTCGAGGCAGCCGGATGGTTTTCAGACTTTCCATAAAGGGGGTGGAAAGTACTTCCATGAGCATGTGGGTGCTGGCAGCCAGTAAACTCTCCAGTGTTGGCCGGACAGGGAAACTCTCTGGACCTGCTAGGAAGGACAGAAAAAAGGCTATAGAGGTTCAGCCTCCAAGACTGCCTCTCCAGGGGGCACAAGGAGAGGTTGACAACTCTTTCTGGGCCACGGCAGCTCAGCTAGCCTCCCTGCTGCTTTTGAGGCCCGCCCGAGATCTCCCCTTGTGTCCAGACATGGGGCAACTGGCAGATCCCCCAGCGTCCTGCGTCGGGAAGTTACTGGAAGGTGAGATCTTTTCAGGATCTGCCAAGCTCTTATTGGAAAGCATCATCTGGAGCTACTGGGACCTCTTGTGCCAAACCCCGACAGACTCTGGACTCAGTGCCTGCCAGAAGGGTGTTAACCTGGCAGAACTAGACAAGTGGGCCTTCGTTTCCGCTCTGCATACCACAAACTGTCTAGACATGGAGAGGGCCTTCGGAAGGGGAAAGCAGTCCAGAAGCCACACACATCTCAACCTACTGCAGTAAACACCCTGCTCCAACCCTATCCAAAGCATAGCTACTCTTGCAGTTCAGCGCATTGCTCCTGGCTGCCTGGCTGAGGTTGCAAGATACCCCGGCTGTGCCTCTGCTCCTCTGCCCACTTAGAGAGGGCACTTCGGGAGACCAAACTTAGCCCAAGGCTGGCCGGACTGCACATTCACAACTTACTCTGCCTTTCTTGCTTCCGCTTCTCCAGCTCCATCTCCGCAATTTCACTCAGCAAAGTGATCCCTTGCAGGAAGGAGTGCTCCAAGGCCTGGTCAGGTAACACCTCCATCTTCACCTGGGACGGAGTGACACTGGCAGTAGCCAGCAAGGAACAAGCCTGAGGCATCTCTGTGGCAGCCACCAAAGCGTTCATCCCAGCCAGCGGGTCACCCGGCTTGATGTCCAGAGCCGGGATTTTGCAAGAGATCGCCTCATCTGTGTAGGAAGGGATCTCTGGCCCCTGCTCCCCCTCCTCGGGGGGTAGGCTGGGAAACTCCCTCCCCAGGGGCACATCACTGCTCTGCAGATCCATGGCTACAGAGGCCTCCTCCCGCTGGGGTGTCAAGTCCATCTCGGGTGGCTCGCTCTCCGCGTGCACGAGCGAGCTGTCATAGTCCATGTGCATGGAGCAGGTTTCTGCTCCACTTCCAGCCTCTGCCTGGGCCTCTGCTTCTGCAGGGCAGGCCACAACCTGGTAAGGGGGCGGGCAGCTTTGGAGCTCTTCCTGGTCCTGCTCCATAGCACCCAGGGCTTCACCTTGATGCAACAGGAGATTACAATTGTCCACGTTCTGCACTGGGACGTTTGTGGAGGTGGCAATGTTCAGAGCCCCCATGTCCTGCTCACACATGTCTTCTTGGCTTTCCTCCATCTGCACCTCTGATTTCACCCTCTCTTCCAAGGACTCCTCTTCTGCTGCTGCTTGGATGGGCTCTAGCATTTTGGACGGAGACAGGTGGATGGGCTTGACCTCAGGAGAAAGTTCCATGTGCTCAGAGCCTTCGGCAGGCAGCGGGACGTCAGGAGCCAGGCCATCCGCATCAGATGCTGCGGTGGGCTGGAGGAGGTAGGGATAGTGTCTTCCGAAGGAGGGAGGCAGGGACTGGAATGGGTATCCCGGGGGAATCTCTGCAAGACATAGAAGGGACAGGCTGTGTAATGGCTGGGTCTCCAAGGCACCTTCTCTCACTAAGGCACAGGGATGGCTTCCCTTTGATTCTGTCATCTCTCAACTCTTCCCCTTCTCAAGTAGCACCTGCTTTGAGCACCTCTCTTGTGGTCCAGATGCCGCCCTCTTCCTCAGGCAGCAGCACCTAAGAGGTCCCTTCTGCACCTTTCCAGCCCTCTCCTGTGACCAGAGGGGGATTTGCTTCCTGCATCCTTCTCCCACCGATACTTCAGCCCTGGAGGACCTGACCCAGGCTCAACCCACAGGAAGAAGAGAGTCCACGGCCTCAGGTACCCCTACGACTCAAGCATCAACCCCAGCCCACCTCACCTCCCCCCGGTCCTTGCCTCTCGCCTGCCTTTTAGAAGAGCTACACGGCTTTCTCTAGGGGAAGGGCTGGAAGCAGGAAAGAGACGAGGAGCAAAAGGGAGCCAGGCACAACACAACAGGACTCTGCCAAAGCAGGGCTCTCTTACCTGGGAACAAGGCCTGAAAGGGACCGGCAGCCTCTTTTTCCAGCTCCAGGTCTTTCTTCTCCACGGTCTCGGGTGCCTCTTCCTTTGGAGGGATGGCAGGGGCAGGGGGTGGAGAGGCAGGGGGTGGGCTGGAAGGATGAGAGCTGGGGGTGGCAGGGTAGGAGTAGGCTGGCTGCGAAGGTGGCTCCTCCATCTTTTGGATCACCTCAGCTTTGAGCACAGACACGGGTGAGGCCCTGGGAGAAAGGGGAGGTGGACTCACAGCCTTGCTGTAGGATGTGGAGGCGCTGGGAGACAGCACAGGTGGCTTTCGGTGCACCAGTCCCGGGGCAGAGGAGGAAAGGCCTGATTTGGCACCGTCCAGGCTCCGTTTCGTCACCTTCTCTTCCATGTCCACGCGCTGCTCGTTCGCCTTCAATCTCTCCTGCAGCAAGAACAGAGCAAAACTAAGCACAACAGCTCTACCTCCTCCTGGAAAGCAATGAAATGAACAACAACCAAATGAAACCAAAATACAATCTTACCAAATACAGGCTGGAATAAAACACATGCCCCCCCAGTGCAACACCATTTTAAGGCATATCTGATGGAGAGGCACACCGGCCTCGAACTAACGCTTCCTATGCAGGGAGCACGCCAGGACAGAGGAGGGTTAAAACATTCAGGGTCAGGAAAGGCTGCAGGTCCAGGGCTCCAGGACCCAGGGCCACTGCTACCAGCATCAGAGATGTTTCTCTGAGCCACTGCGAGAGGTTTGTTTGGAGGTGACCAGGGATGAAACCACTCAACTAAACAGAGATGTTCCTATGGAAGGAATCAAGGCCACACTGCTGTTGGGCAGTTCCTGTGACTGCGCTGCTCAGTGGCGCCACATGAAACCCTTCCAAAATCTACCTGCAGCCCTGCAGGACACACCACACACCCCCGACTGCAGGGACCGGGGCTGTACTGCCCAGAGCATCCCTACCCTTGAAACACACGTGCAACACCGTCATGGCTGCTCTTCCCCATCAGACACCCCAACTTCAGGCTCATTTCACCTCCAAGCAAGGAGCTCCTGAGAACGTACCACGAGCTGGGCGCTCCTCTGGAGCTCCATGGCGTGGGCCGCTTGCTGCTGCAGGATGTACAGCTCGTGCTGCCGCAGCAGCTGCTGATGGGAGAGGAGCTGGAGCTGGTGAGCGTGCTGCAGGGAGCTCCTGGTCGGGGGGTACATGGCGGGCCACAGTGGGGGCGCCCGGTCCATCAGCTCCGCTGGGGAATGAGCAAAGGCAGAGTCAGGGAGGCACAAGGACAGGAGTGGCTGAGGGATTCGGGGGTCCCTCACTGCAAGTCTCCCTACCAGGGCGTGCGGGATGCCATACACCACGCTACAAAGAAACGCATCCAGAAACGCGGAGAGGGAAGCGCAATCTCTGTTGCCCAGCAGCCCCACTCCCACCCTCGGGAGTGGCCCTCAGGGCCACTGGGGCCTGGGGCCATCTGACTTGCTTTGCTCTCTAGGTACCCTTGGCTTCACTGTCCCAGGCTGATCCCAAGAGCAGATCCTCCTAACCAGGGACCCAAACCCTACAGGGCCCTCCAGGGGATGAGAAGCCACTGCTGAGGGCTACACATTTCCATCTCCAAAATGCACTTAACAAGAGGCTAGTTCACTCCCACCCTAGAGCTGTGGCTTCTGGTCCCCACGTGTATTTAAGTTCCTAACTAGCCACCTCCAAAGTCTGATTTCTCCACAGCTGTCAGAGCAGTCCTCAGGCAAGCGATGGCCTGCAAAACCCTTCCCTGCTTTGGCAGCAGCGTCTTCAGAAGCGATGGGACATAGTCAATGGAGACAGCACAACGTGGCTCCAAGCAGCAAGAAAACAACCCCTACACTTCCCCGCTGTGGGTCGCACCACACAACCCGTCTACCATCCTCATCTTTCATTAGGTCCATGAGCACTTTGTTGGAGGGTGAAGCAATAGGGAACCTTCCCTCTGGGATGCCAGTGCTGCCTGCTGCGAAGGCTTCACGCTCAGGCATCCTTTCGGGTCTCGTGCGTACCCAGCCTACTCAGACAGAGCCCACCTCACTCCCTGCCTCTCACCGGCATGGCACGCCATACAGGACCCAGGATCTGCTCACGTCCTTACCAAAGTGCGGCAAGTGCTCGCTGGGGATCACGACAAGCTGCCCCGATTGCGGGTCTCTGGCAAACTGGTAGGCAGAAGGGAGAGCTCCCCCCATGGCAGGGGGGAAGCCTGGAGTCATGCCCTGGTGCAGGGAAGGGTGGCCAAGTCCTGGAAGAAGAAACACTACAGTCACAACTCAAGGGGTGCAGCACAGTTCCTGCCGGTCCAGAGGTCATGTACAGTTTGCTCCAAAATACCGCCTTCCCTTTCCCCTGCAATCAGACACCAGCTTCGCTGGGCACTTAGGGATACCTCTCCCTGGACTGCATCAGCGTGGACGCCCCGCGGGCTCATCGCTCCCTCCCAGCACACTCACCGTAGGGGTGGCCGGCCAGCCACATGGAGGGGCTCCCCGTCCTGGGGAGCCAGGGGTGGGCCGCCAAGTGCGAAGCTGGGTCTGCAGACCAGCGCCCAGAGCCTGTCAAGGCCGGGCCTCCTGTCACCATGAGGTTGGAGTTCAAACCGTTCGTGGCACAGCCTGAGGGGTGTATCCGGGCAAAATCTGCCAGCTCCTTGCTCTCTCTGGACATGGGGGAGGCAAGAGAGAGAGTGAGAGATGATCTAAGTGCTACAGGTACTGCGCGGCTGGAGGAGCCCAGGGGTATGGACCAGCCTGCAGAATGAGCACGATCGCAAATCAGGGTCAGACACTCAAGGACAGCAGCGGCAGAGGGTGGTTAACATCACGGCCAGAATAAAATACCCCATCCCTCCATCTCTTTGGAAGAGGCACAGAGTTGCAGCAGCACATTAGAATCGCTCTGCTGTGGATTCGGGATCTATCTGTAACCCCGTGGTACCCCACCGAGAGCTACTGCCCACCGCAGCGCTCCTCTCCACACCAGCAAGTCTGTTGCAAGCAGCTACAGCAGGACAGGCCCAGCCCCGGCCCCTCTCCAGACAGGCCGTCCCCAAGCACAACCTGCAGCAGCCACGGCAGGCCACATGCTGCGGCCAGGGACCTTGTCCCCTGCTGACCCTCACCTGAGCAGCTTCTCCTGATCCCGCTCCAACCGCCCTGCCAGGAGGTGGCTGTCCCGGTGGCGGCTCCTCTCATCCCCACAGTCGTCCTCTGAGCGTCCGTGCCCTAAGAGACAACCCAGAGCCATGAGACGTGAGAACTAGCCTGGGAAACACTGTCCCCTTTCCTCTGAGCATGGAGACAGGGTACCCTGGGACCCAACACACCGAAAGGCCACCGTCCCAAGGCCACCTTAGGCTGAAGCCCTAAACGATAGGGCAGGACTCTATCCTTGGTACATGATCAAGATACTCTCACTAAGGAGTTTGTGGAAGCACCCAGCTGTGCGCCATTTGAGGTTCACATTTTTAAGCCTCTGAGGGACCCTCCACTCCCCAGGTCAGGCAGGTCCCCCAGGACAAGAGAGCCACCAGCCCGTGAGTAACAGGACCAACTGGACCAATCTGCCAAAGGACAGTGGTGGACTTCCCATCTCTCTCCGAAGGAGATTAGGCCCAGCTTAATCCCCACATCAAGCCATGCAGTCCTGCTGAGCACGTCTTGCAGGGGGAGATTTTAGCTCTGCATCACTAAAGAGGTTCCTTCTGGTCCTAAAAACTAGTCCACGAGCACCAGGTATGCACCGAAGCGAGGGCAAGAGTCCAAAAAGGGGACTGGATGCTCATCTGGAGAAACAGCTCACCCAGAATCCAAACCGCTTGTGTAAATACAGCCCGGCGCGGCAGCAGCCATGCCTGCGAGAGATTAGGAAACAACCTTCACAGGAGCAAAAGATGCAACATTTGCTCAGCGGCACCTTGCTGGCCTTACCAGCACACTGCTGTGGCTGCTTTCCTGCCTTTATCCAAAGTGCCACCTCCATCCCAGCTGTCTGATTTCAGATTGGCCTTTCCCTAGCTTCTTTCTTGTACGTGCAATTTTCCGCAGCTCCCAGCAGCCTCCATCCATTTTATAGTTCGCTGATATGATCCGCCTCTGAATCTCAGCCCTGCTTGCAGCAAGCTGCCGGATCCCCGGCTCTCTGGCAGCCCTTCCCTGGGCCCTTGCTCTCTCGTGCGGATAAGACTTAGCACATGGGAAAGCGCCTCGTAACCTCAAGTCCGTTCTGCTGACAGGCAGTCTTTTAGAGGGCTCCGCTGTGTATTTCCACAAACCTGGACAGCCCGTGGCTTCTGCTGTCAAGTCTCCAATTCCCTCAGCTTTTACTGTCAGAAAGAATCCAGGAATAAAACAACATCTCTCCCAGCCCCTCGCCCGTGCTCCTTACAGAGGCTTCAGGCAGAAAGCAGAGATGCTTCAAAACCTGGCACACACCTCTCCCTCCCGAAGGACTTCCCAGGGTCACCGCACTTCACCCGGACCCACGAGCACGCTGCGTGCAATGGCTGGCCCCGAGCAGCAACTCCCCGGCTCCCTGAACGATGCCACGGGCCATCTCCATCGCTCCGGTCCCCGCCGGGAGGCGCAACAGCTCCCAGCGCACCCCTGCACCCTGCAAGTGCCGGGGGCCGAACACCCCCCTGCCCCTCGCCCTGACCGCGGTGGTGCGTGTTTGAAATTCCCCTCTACCCCCTGGCCCAGGTTTCCCATTCAGAGCTCCTTTTTGTATTTATTTTCCCATTCAGAGCCCCTTTTTGTATTTATTTCCCCATTCAGAGTCCCTTTTTGTATTTATTTTCCCAATAAGCGCCTGGTCGTCTCTTTGGCGTCTGCAATTTGGAACGATCCCTCGGTTAACTTACAACCTCCCTGCCCTCCTCGGCCCAAGGCGAGTGACCCTCCACCCGCACATGCCCCCTCCCCACTAGCTTTTTATTAGAAACATGTTATTTTATCTCAGCTCCTCCCGTGCCCACCTACATTAGCTGTAATCTGTTATTTATAGATGGGTTTATTATCTTTTTTCATCCCCCATCCACACACACACACACACACTTTCTTATTCACATAATTTCTCCCTACCCCGCTAACAGGACGGTCCCTTTTCTGTACAGACCGATGATTGTCCGGACAGTGAATGATCATTTTGTCTATATATATGAACATGACGCACGGACCGCATAGAAAAATTCAATCAGTTATGCACAGAGGAAAGGCTTAGACCCGTTTCCTTGACAACCAATGCCCGGCACTAAATACTTGCATTTTACTTGCCAAATACTACAGATTAGCCAACGAAAGCCTGCTTTCTCGTTCTTAAAAGGTCTAAACATTCAAGCACCGTCCACTCAGCGCGAGCAAGCTAATGTTATTAGACGAAGATCTCCTGGCGCACAAAGGCGGGGGGCAGCGTTTGCGGGGGGCGAAAGGAGGAGAAAAGCGGGCTTGTTTTCTGTCTGAAAGCCAACTGCATCACTTAGCAACCGGCCCGGAGGCCTGCCAGAATCCAGCCCTTGTTTGCAGCCTTTTAGTTCGGCTCAGTAAATTACATTTAACGCAAGCCGGGAGGGTCTGGGCGACGGAGCGGCTGAACAAACAGCTCCCTGTGCTGCCCACGAGGTCCTCGGGCGGCTCCTGCCCGGCCGCCGGCAGGGTGATGGGAGGCGATGGGAACGGGGGCAAAAGGGGACGGGGAGAGGGGCTGCGAGCCCCGAAGAAGCCGGCTCTCGCGATCAAGGTCCGGGCACAGGGGTGGCCGACGGGGAGGAAGACTC